CTGGTATTGGTATAATGACAGACCCATTGACCGATGGAATAGAATTGAGGATCCAGAAATAGATCTATCGACCTATGGTCAGCTGATCTTTGACAAGGGACTTAAATCCATTAATTGGAGAAGAGAATGTTTGTTTAATAAATGGTGCTGGCAAAACTGGCTATCCATTTGCAGAAAAATGAAACATGCATGATCTGTACCTCACATCATACACAAAAATTAATTCCAGATGGATCAAAGACGTAAATGTGAAACCTAAAACTATAAAGTTCCTCAAGGAAAAACTAGGGGCAAATTTAGGGGCCCTAATATATGGCATTATATATATGGTATTGGGAGCTCTGGTAGCATAGTGGCTAAGGCACTTGACTGCTCACCAGATGGCTGGCGGTTCAAACCCATCAGCCACTCCTTGGAAGGAAGGTTGGGCAATCCTACTTCTGTAGTGATGCTGCCTCGGTAACCCAAGGAGGGGTCGCTGTGAGTCAGGGCTGACTCGACGGCACATAACAACAACAACAATATATGGCATTTGGTAGGAAGGTTGGGCAATCTACTTCCGTAGAGATACCGCCTCAGAAACCCAAGGAGGGGTCGCTATGAGTCGGGTCCAACTCGACAGCACATAACAACAATATATGGCATAAATAGACTATCAAGCATAACTAAAAATGTACAAACAGCAGAAGAGAAACTAGATGAATGGGACCTTCTAAAAATTAAATTTTTATGTGCTTCCAAAGACTTCACCAAAAGAGTCAAAAGAGAACCTACAGATTGGGAAAAAATATTTGGCAATGACCTATCTGAGAAGGGACTTATCTCCAGAATTTATAGAAAACTCCAATACCTCAATAGCAAAAAGACAAATAATCCAATTAAAAAATGGGCAGAAGAAATGAATAGACACTTCACCAAGGAGGATATTCAGATGGCCAACAAACATCTGAAGAAATGCTCACAATCATTAGCCATTAGAGATGCAAATCAGAACAACAATGAGACACCATCTTGCCCTAGCAACAACAGCAAAGTTCAACAAGACAGAAAATAACAAATGCTGGTGAGGATGTGGAGAGATTGGGACTTTCATACACTGCTGGTGGGACGGTAAAATGGTACAACTGTGGAAAGCAGTATGGCAATTCCTTAAAAAGTTGGAATTAGAAATACCATTTGACCCAGCTATTCCATTACTAGGTATATATCCTAAAGCCATTTGACCCAGCTATTCCATTACTAGGTATATATCCTAAAGAAGTGAGAGCCAGGACAAGAACAGACATGCACATGCGTGTTCATTGCAACACTATTTACAATAGCCAAAAGATAGAAACAACTTAGGTGTCCATCAACTGAGGAATGGATACCCAAACTATGGTACATACACACAATGGAATACTATGCAACCCTAAAGGATAACGTAGAATCTGTAAAACACCGCATAACATGGATTAACTTGGAGGACATTATGCTGAATGAAGGAAGTCAATCACAGAAGGACAAATATTGTATTAGTC